GCGTCAGTAGGTTCGCCATCTACGGGTTGCTCTCCGCTCAGCACATGGTCATCGTCTGCTAAAGGTGAGTCACCGAACTTGGCTGATTCTTCCTCTACATCATCCTCTTCCTCATCAGAGTCAGGCCCTTCCTCTATCACAGTCGTCTCGCCATTATAGAGTTTATGAAGCAGGCATTTCCCTTCCACCACATAATCGGCACTCAAGCCCGAAGCATCTATCTTAGGATATCGAAATTGAACCTGATTCAGGGCGTTGTTAAAAGAATCATAAAAAACTGAAGGCAAGCCAAGCTCCAGCTCCTGGAGATGTTGCTAATGTAACTGGGGCTAATGAGCCTATAACTTACACTAGGCAGCATACAAATTTAACACTAGTGAAGAAAGTGAGGGTGGAGAAGAACAAGGCTTTGAAGAAATGTTTGATGATAATTCTGATTAGTTCTTTTCCTTCTTGACTTTGATAGAGCAATTTGTATTTGACTCTACTTGGATCCTTTATGTTCCTAGAATATTATTAATTTAGTTTCCTTCAATGAACTAGTATGTTGCTTCCTTTATGTTCCCTTTAATCCTTGTTTTGAATGTGTAGTATCATACTTTTCATTACTTATTTCCTCCTATTTTGGGTGATTTCTTATCTTTTAGCATTTATATAGCATTAATATATGTGGTATAATTTATTATAAGTATTTATATGGACTTCACAGTAGCGGTTTTACCGCTACCCGCTATACCGCTATAGCGTTTTTGGGGTCGGCCGCTACCCGCTATTTAAAACTATGGTTAAAACAAGCGGTCTACTAGTGCACTCTTCCTCTTTATCCATCATTAAAGGAGGAGAGTCACAACTTACCATTTAATTGTAACTTATTCTATTAAAAAACAAGGGTGTTGCCAACTCCCCAAAAGATTGTAACAATAATAAGCTCAGGGAGAATGATAAGGCTATGTGCTTGCCTAGTCCAAGGACAATGAAACCTCAAATTCTAAATAAACAACATTTCATTATTATGGGTTATTTTTTTTATTTTATTTTTGGTAATTACATGGGGCATAGCCCCACAAGACAAAAACAGAACCTAAAAGCAAACTACAAAGACAGCAAAAAACAGAAAGCGTAAAAGGCACTACTGTTAGCCATAGCAGATCGAACAGTAGTAACTAAACATTAGCTGGGACTTGTCCAGGATCAAGCAGGATTATATGGTAGAATAAGATTATCAAGCAGGATCAAGCAAGATTACTTGGTAAGATAGCTTAAAGCTTGAACAGAATCTGACTCCAAAGTAATGCTCTTCCAACCATAGTTATGGGTTATTTAATCCATGAAAGAATAAGATTATATGTCGATTTAAAAAAGAAATGTCTTAGAACCTTACCTGAATAGCCAACTCCCTGGTTGGGCAAATGCAGAAAGCTTGAGGAGCCTGCAACTTTGGATCAACTCGACTAAGCATACCAAGAAGGAAACACGTGGTTTTTCCGGAACCGTTATGCGCGTGTGCGACCAAATCCCTATTCGGAGGATTCAAGATCATAGGCAAGGTTACGGCTTGGATCTTACTAGGTTTATGGAACTTCATCTCCACGTAGAGTCCGTTCAAAAGCTCCGGTGAGAGATTCAGTTCTTCGAAGGTGGTAGCTGACGTGTACGGAGTGTCGCCGGACGAAACCTGCACATAAATTCAAAACCATAAACCGTCAATTTCTCGCCGAGAAAGAGAGAAAAGAGAAATCGGGAATGGGGATCAAACCAACCGCTTGGATGTTGGAGTCTTCAGGCTCGTCCAAGAACTTGGGAGAAGGCTTCTTGTTTTTCTTCCGGAAGACGGGGCCACCAGCTATTTGGGTTATTTTTGGTAATTACAATCGTTAATCCGAGGACGTTGAGCGACGAGGAAGCTGGCGCCGGCGGATGAGCATCGCTGGCGGAGGTGGTTTCGGCGGTGGATGGTTCTGCCATAGCAGTAGACGAGACGAGACCGAGTGAAGAAGAGTATTCAAAAAAGGAATTCGCAGTTTCAGAGGGAAGGAGAGGGTAATGGATTACTGTGAAGAGTAATTAAATAAAATAGACATATACTACTAATATATATAAAGAGACAGGGTGCTAATTTGGAAAGATTTTCTATGGATTGAAATTTTAAAGAATTGCAAAAACATATCTACTAATATTTGATTAAGAATTTAAAAGATTATTTTAGAGTGCAGTCAAATCCGGTGGTATTCAACAAGTATTTTAAATAAAGAAAAAAAATCTTGTGATATCAAAATATATGACGATTTTAGTTAATTTTCTATTAATGTAAATTTTATTAGATTTTTTAGTGAGAAATACAGATATGATGTCTTTTTTACAATCTTATACTTTTAGTGAAACCGGGTTTCGCTAGGAGAGCTTCATCAAAGCTAAAAAAATAAATTTTTAAGCGATTTTCATCACAAAACAACACAGAAGTAACAATCCAACAAAAGTCTAACCTAATCCATCTCAAAAACATTAGATTTTTTAGAGCTTTTGAAAATTTAAAAAATGATTTTTCAAGTTATAGGTCGCGATTTTTCTTAGCACAAAAATGTATAATTTTTTATTAAAATCAACATATTAGACAAATCTAATTAAGAAGCAATATAATATTTATATGAATATTGACATAATATATATTTTTCTAATAAAAAATTGGTATTAAAAATAATCTATATTAATACTATTTTCTCTCTATAAGTCCTTACAACTTTTTTGGCAAAATATTATATAAATTTTTATGACATTATATGTTCCAAAAAAATCAATTATTAAGTATCTATAAAATTTAATGGTTGGATGTATAATTCTTCAAAAATCACAATCACCGGTAAATATTTTGTGTTAATTATGCTCTTACATCAAAAGAGTAAAAATTTAATTTCTTTCATATGCATTAAATTAAAATTTACATATTTATAGTGAATAAGCAATTTTTTTATATATCCGTTACCAGAAAATCATTCTGTTTTATGTCCTTATTTTATGTAGAATTTTTGTGTTAATTATGCTCTTAAATCAAACAGTAAAATTTTAATTTCTTTCATATGCATTAAATTAAAATTTTCATTTTTATAGTGATTAAATTTTTCTAGTTTTTTTTAACCGTATAATATTTGTCATTTTCAATTTTGTTATTTAATTTTAAAATTTAAAATTTAAATTCTTTTGTATTAATTATAATTGAAATAATTTTGTTCTCTTTTAATTTATATTTTTTATATATTTTTTAAGTTGATTATACATATATATTTAAAACGTTTATATTTTGTTCTCTTTATTGACAGTTAAACATTTTCTTAAAAATACTTGTATGGAAATTTTTTATCTTTTTATATTCATCTTTTAAGTTAAGTTTTTATTTTAGTTTTTTTTCAAGTATAAATATTTTATTTCTTAATTTTTTTCAATTAAATTTCAAATTTCAATTTATTAACTATATATATATTTTAATATTGTTAACTTTTTTTTTCGTTTAATCACTGCAAATTCCATTTTTTGCATTTCCCACCGAAACAAAATCCTTCTTTTGACCACTCACTTTTTTCCATTTGACAAAAATATAAATAGTGGCAAATCTCAACTACTTCCACTGTATAATACGCTGTCTCAGATCTTTGGACATTTCGTCTCAAATGTTGGAGAAATAAAAAAAAATTGCATATCTTATGCAATTCTATTTAATTTAGAATATATTTAACATTAGTTCAGTTTATATAAATTTTCTGACATTATATGTTCAAAAAAAATCAATTATTAAGTATCTATAAAATCTAATGGTTGGATGTATAATTCTTCAAAAATCACAATCATTGGTATATCTTTTGTGTTAATTATGCTCTTACATCAAACGAGTAAAAATTTAATTTCTTTCATATGCATTAAATTAAAATCTACATATTTATAGTCAATAAATTTTTCTACTTTTTTTAACCGAATAATATTTGTCATTTTTAATTTTTTTATTTAATTTTAAAATTTAAAATTTAAAATTTAAATTGTTTTGTATTGATTATACATACTTTTAAAAAATAATTTTGTTCTCTTTTAATTTTTAATTTTTATATATATTTTAAATTGATTATACATATATATTTAAAAGGTTTATATTAAATATTTTCTTAAAAATACTTGTATGGAAATTTTTTATCTTTTTATATTATTCTTCTAAGTTAAGTTTTTATTTTATTTTCTTTTAAAGTATAAATATGTCATTTCTTAATTATTTTCAATTAAATTTCAAATTTCATTATTCAATAATTTTATATTAAATTTAAATTTATTATATATATATATATATACATATATATATTAAGATATAGATAAATTTAATGAGTTGGATGTATAATTCTTCAAAACAAAGACTGTAACTACTGATTACCAAAAAAAAAAAAAAGAACGTAACTACTGAAAAAATATCTAATTTTATTTTTTTTACATGACAAACCAATTTTATTTCGTGATATACTAATATGTTTTTTTTGTTTACTTGAGTGAATATTAGTAAAGTATACCCTGAGTGAAAAAAAAAAAAATTTGCAACTTTTCGTTGGGTATAATAAATGCATATTTCGATTCTTTCCCTTTTCAATAAAGAAACATAAATAAAAAATATCTGTTCTCATCCAATAGTAAAGTATACCCAAGAGATCTTTGCATTGCGCTTACTAGCAAACTTCACCTCCTTTGCAGTCTATCAAGGTTATACCATTTCATGTCCACACTTGCAGTATCTGTTCTCTTATCCTTGCTTTTCATTTGAAGCCAATGCCATCCCAAGCTCTCATCGAATAGTAATGAAAAACGTCCAATATCTATGCAGGCATAAATAAAAAATATAATTCAAATGATATTTTTAACATTTTCTTTCTCTATTTCTTGCTAACTGTATACAATTTGAGCCATAGCAGACTCACACATGAATAGAGGAATACAGAAACTTACGCAAACTTTCAGGAACAATTTTTTTGAAAACATTTGCTGAGTAATGTATATTCTCTCAAGCTTGAACTTTTCTTTCACTCATCTCATTCAAAAGCTTGTTTGCATCTTTTATCCTGCCATCTTGACACAGCTTGCGCAAAATTGAATTATAAGTAACAACTCCAGGGTACAATCCCTTAGCCTCCATCAGCTCACGCATTTTCAAAGCTTGCTCCAGTTCATTCGTTTTACAATAACCATCAATCAACGTAGTATATGTCACGTGATTGGGAGCTGCACTTTTAATTTCACTAAACATCCTCATAGCTTCTCTCATCCTACCTTCTCTGCAAAATCCATAAATAAGAGAATTATAACTAACTATATCAAGATTTATCCCCTCTTTTTCCATTTTGTCCTGGATGGACAAAGCCTCATAGTGCATACCTTTCTTGCAATATAATGATATCAAAGTATTATATGTAAAAATGTCAGGAAGCGCACCCTTTGCTTCCATCTCATTTAGTAACTGTTCTGCCCTCTCCACATCTCCTGATTTGGAACAAGCATGGATTAAACAATTGTAAATGTAGATATTGAGAACAACCCCACCTTGAACCATTCTCTTATGAATCTTCCAAACCATATTAGTAATCCCATCATTCACCAAACAATTCAAAAGCACAGTACAAGCATGCAAATGGGGCTTGACTTTATATAACAACCTCATCTGTTCAAAAACTTGAATTGCATCCTGGGTCATCTTTGACTTTGCATAATGTATCACAAGCCAGCTCAAAACATGTGAATTAACTTCTGGGTCGTCATGAATCCTCACCAAAGAGCTCAAAACCGAAGGAGATGAAAGAAAATCCTTGTGGGCAATTTTGTCAAGCATCTGTTGTGCAGTTTTGAAATGTTTGTGTTTGGTGAGTATGTGAATCATGGTCCATGAACATTGCAAGGAGTGGCTAAAATGTGGGATGGAGGCAACCCATTTGAAGAATGGAAAGGAATAAGAGGGCCCATAACCATAAAGTGAGAGATGCAAAAGCACATTGTGTATGGTAGTGGAAGTGAGAGCAGAGCCATTCTTTGCATTCAACAAATTGCCCCAATGACCCTTGACAACAATTTCGCACACACTCTCAATAAATTGGCTCTTCTCAACAAAAACCATGTCTATTACTATCATCCATATGCTCTACCATTTGACCAAGAGAACTTGATGGATATACATACCAATGAGTATAATAGTGGGAGAACACCATACTATTATTAGATTCATTAAATTGTCTCCCCTGCTGAAGCAATGCTATTAAATCATCCCCAACTTGCCCCCCTGATGGGTCAAGTGCAAATACCATACTTGCAAGTTCATTCAAAATATCCTCAATCTGAACAGACACCATTCACACAAAAATAGAGTTAAATATCCATAAGGTAAACAATTGTAAGAGTGCCATTTATGCATGTGCATACAATAGTCAGTGTTAAGAAAACTGAATCCATAATATTGCACAGGAGATGCCATTCCACTCTTATGGAAAAAATAAAAGAAACAAATAAAACTTGGTTTGGGAGGCTATAAATAAAGTTTGCAGACAAGTTAAGAGCATGCTTACTCTGGTTGATTTGGAGCATCCTGGGGGTCTACAGTCATCATGTACATATCCTTTTTAGGTTATTTTGCTGGGTCTTCCAATATATCACCCTTCAGTGTAACAAATTGCAAATATAAGAAAAAACAGCAACATGTCATAAATTCAATGTATAGTTTTGGAAGCTACGGTACATAAAGCATAAACCTAGATCAAACTAAAGATTTAAACTTTCGGCAACTTATCATAATACAGCATAGCAATGAAGTTGGACAATGAATTTGATAATTCACATGTCTAGAGCAGTAACTAAATTAATGAATTTCCTTGAATTATTTTAAAAGCTTTTCATGCTTTTAGAAGAAAATAACAATAAGTAGACTAGAAGTTTTCAGTGTACACTAGAAGTTTTAGCTATTCACATAAAACTTGACAGGATCCAATCAATTACTTTAGAGGATGTTAAGAATGCTGAGGAGGATGTACAGAGGATAACAAGTGGGAAGAACACTGGAGATTTATACTATCAGACCATTACTGGACTCAGACATGCTCTATCAAAAGCACAGCAAAACACTGCAAAATGACCAGCAACAGCAGAAATCAAATCCTACAGAAGGAGGTAACAATGAGGATGATGCTGAGTCTCAATCTGAAGAGGATGAAGATAATGAAAGTGCTTCAGGAAAGTCCTATTGTTCATATTTGCATTACATGTATGTAAACTTATAGTATGATGAACCAAGTTGAGTACAGTGAAGAAAATTCAATTGCATTAGAAAAATTTACAGTTTCAAGGCCATGTTTGTCTTCGACCAAAAACAGATGGCATCAATTCCAATTCTGCAGGATTATCCGCTTATACTGTGCAGGGTAGTAAAGTGTAAGCAATGAATTTTTTAATTGCTTTTGATGAAAATGTGGGGTGGGTGCGTGTGCTTATTACAAGCTTTTGGGTCTATTGATTAGTTCCACACATGCAGTAGAACCCTATTTATGAACCCCACACTTTCTAAACCAATATTTGACTTGAACAAAAAAAGGGTGGCTGAATTGAATAACATTAATCCGGTGTGTACCTGATAAATATAACTTTCTGTGAATCAAACAATATCCTAATCTAATGGAACAACCCGAGCACAAAGTCTTTTATGTGGATTGACGATTTAGAACTATGAATGTATGAAGGTTAGCAATAGATTAACCAGGCATAGCATTAGAGACACTTGATGATCAACATAGAAGCAGTAGCACCTTCCATCCAGCAGTTATATGTGTGTCAGGCCAAAACAGAGCTACCTAAAGTCTTGAATGCTATCATATTCATATCTCACAACACAATTCCATTTAAAAAATATGTAATATGTATTTTTGGTGTGGACTTCCTTCAATATAGAACCTATATTTAGGTACATTCATTAATCGTACAAAACAAGCTTTATGTCAACAGGTTCCCATATTATAGGCGGCTTAGGTTTTAGAATAGTAAACTCGTCAAACAAAAAAGATTCTCCAAATGACATATGAACTACAATGTTGCTGTAAAGTTCATTATACTTTGAAAAAGATGCTTACAAGCAAGAATATAAACAAAGATAATTTACATTAAGATAAACCAAAACTTTTCTAATCCAAATAGCAATATTGATTCAAGAATCTAATTATAAAAGTCAGCTTGTATTATATCAATGTACGCTGCACGAACTTCATTATATATTTCCTTGCTATGCTCCTTGAGGAAGGTAACAACATACCTACGATTTTACACTTCCATTTGTTATATTTATACAGAACCAGAAGCTCACAACAACGACCACAATGATTTCATAATTTAAAGGTGGACAAAGCAGGGAAGCATAGATTGAGATTGGTATATTTCATATCCTGCTCTTGTTGGCAGGCTAAATAAAAATATGCAAATGATGGCAACCAAAATATTTAATTGAATATTTAGTAACTAGTAATTATATTCTGCTAGATCACCGTGCATGCAAGACTGAAATACAAACAAATTTAACCAAAATAATATTCAGTCAACAACCTAAGAATAAAGAAATTTGTTAGAACACAATCCAATGCTCAAGAGAGATACATTTTAAAACAAAGTTTGAACATGTTATCAAGTAGATACAATTTTAGCTAGTAGAAATTAGAAATTGGAATTTGAAAACAGCACTACGAAAGAGTAGCTAATGAAGGCAAAACAGCTTCATAGCATAAAATGCAATAGCCATTCAGCGAAATGAAAAAACTAACGAGTTTCATTTCATCGAAATAAAAGTCATGAGCATTACGTTGTTAATAGATTTTGGAGCAAAAGAAATGTTCACTTATCAAATAATAAATTCAGGATATTAAAAGCTAATACAAAGAATAAAAGCATTCCATTCAAATGGCAATAAAACCCATAAAATACAGAAACTGAATGTGAAAGTGCAATACATAATGAAAGTGCAATATAGGTATGATTAAGGATATGAACCCAAAATACTATTTCACAGCAGTAATTGAAAACCAAAGTAAACATGAAGTTCAAGCTACGAGTAAGATAGTGAAAAATGATATATACAAGAGTGGAAGGATGCAAAAAGATATTTCTGGCAGAAGGACAAAGCATTTACCTTTGAGTTGATCCAAGTTACCCTCCTTCATCTTCGTATGTTGAGGAGCGTGAACGTTAATAAATCTGACTCACTTCAAACTCAGATCTCTTTCTAAGTGGTCTTCAGGAACGAACGTTACAATTTTGGTAAAGGGTAAAGGTGAGGTTATTTTGGTAAAATAACCTCACATTCCCACTCATATTTCATAACCAACCAAACACATACTCAGTAAAATAACCTTAATTTTCCCAGAAAAATATAGGTCTGCCAAACAGTTTTTTAATAATATTTCAGTAAAATATATTTCCAGCTACATTCCAGTAATAATTATTATCCGGATAAAAAAAAATTTCTCTCCTACTAAACGCCCCCTTACTTCATTACAATATATATCATTGCTTTCTTCTTCTTCACCTGACACACCTTCCGTGGACGAGGGCACTGCAATCTCCATCGACCGCTCTGGCCTTTACAACCCACCTGGTACTTTCTTCAAATTTCCTTTCTTTCTTCGCTTCTTGACACGAGCTGTCGAACTCGCGCAAATTAAAAATTAATTCTTTAGTTAGGGTTCAGAAAATTTGCAGTAAAGTGGAAACCCTAAGTCGTCTCTCAAGGAAATTGTTTTGGTTAAAATCGCTTATGAGAACAGAAAATTAAAAAGGGGGGTTTTGGATTTTGATTCAATAATTAAAAAGGCAGAGTATAAATTTGGAATAAAAATTCGTAATTAAAAATTAACCAACCTAAGGTTTGGGATCCATGGACGTCTTTCCTAGGATAAGAAAATATCAGAATCGTGATTGATTTGTCAATCGGATCAGAATCCTTATTTCCAATTGACAACCCTCTCTAAGCGATCGCTTAGCATTTGATCAAAGACGATGCTTCTACTCATACAATCGCAGAGTATCAGCTCGCTTGATTTAAGGTCATAGGGTCAATCAACCTAATCATCAAATCTGATGATTAATCCCTTTCCATAATCGCAATCGCGAACCTCAGATTGAATATCCACGATCGCACGATATCAATCTGAGTTGGGAAGGGAAACAAAACTGATTTGAAATAAACGCAGATCCTCAAAACCAATCCATGGAATCCATTACCCTTAGGTTGATTAAAAGGTTCTTAGCCTCGTATGGCTAAGGTAAACATAATTGAAATAAAAAGAAGAAGAAGAAAAAAGATGAAGAACGCAATTGAATAAAAACTCAGAGAGAACTTCTCTGTTGTAAAAACTGACTCCCAAGGGTTTCCTAGAGTCCCCTTTAAATAGCCGTCACGCAGGACGGCTAGGGTTTCATTGCTTCAGCCCAAACATAAAATAAAAAAACCGAATAAAATAAAGTGAAACAATAAAACTTGGCTTTGGGCCACTTAAGTAATTGGGTTTTAATTTAAATTACAAGCCCAATAGTCAAACAAAACTTCAGCAAAACGCGTCCAACTTGGTGTCCGAAATCGACCAGCTTCTAGTCCGAATTGGGCTTAGAGCTCTGCATAAGAATTGTATCTCTCTGTGTTATCTGAAAAACCCAATAAGAACGGAGTCAATCCGACAACTATGGACCGAGATATGGCCAAAATACAGAAGTAACGTAAAGCTGAAAAATTCTGACGAAAATAAATTAAACCCAATTAAAAACTAAAAACCTAAATTAACTCTAACAATCATTATTTTATTCAAATAAATCCTAAAAATACTAATCAAGAGTAACAAATAAGTGTAACAAAATATGTGTTATCAAATTCCCCCACACTTATCTTTTTGCACTCCTGGGCAAAAACTAAAATTGAAAGTAAATACTAAGATCAACCAATCCTTTCTAACAATTACCAAGCATACAGAAAATATACAAAGATCACAAGTCTTCTACAGATAAATCAATCAGGACAGAAATTCCCTAATCTCAAATCACAAGACCTGCTAACTTCAACTGCAACTGCTAACTGCATAAAAAAATGGTTCCTCACAAGATGCTCTCAAT